GATAACACACTTTCTATAAATCTGAATATCTACTTTTAAAGGGAAACTACAGTACATCAAGGTTATTCAGTGAAATGTACTGTATAATACTGTACTTTATGCTTCCAATCCACAGTCTGACTGAAAGATTTTATGCCCACCAGTTCTGCTAAGCTGGTTTCCTTACCACCCAATTCATAAGGCATAAGGTGGACAAACCTGGATTCACCAAACAAAATAATTGTTTTGTGTTGGCTTAAATTCCTCTTGCAAACCATGGACATTATTATTTACATCGTTTTCACAAACATTAAAGAGCACAGCAGGTAAATAAGCCATCACTGATCTCTCTAGCGGCTTATGAAGTGAAGTAATTCATCCTCAAATATATGATCAAAGACTGTATAGTCAGATTTAATTCACTTTCTAACAGCTTATAATTATCTGCGTGCTTATATTAGAAGGCTATGAGGCTGCCATGATGGTGCAGCAGAAAGCAAAAGGAAAACAAATGATTGCAGGTTCTATGTGGGATATGGAGAATGGGTGCACATATCACTTACTTCCATTAAGCCAACTTTAACAGCAAGAAATCTCCAAAACTGGGGGACTATAGGTTTCCCCAATCCTACCACAAACTACTCCACTAATTCAATATTATGTGGATGCTCCATAGTAGTATTCAGAACTATACAGCCAGTATTTGGAGACCAAATGACAGATACCTGTTCCTGAGGGTATAATCTACAGATGGACATTTACACTGACCATTTTCCCAATATCTCTCGCTTTATTTTCTTGTATCTAGCCTACCTTCACTGAGAATATATTGATTCCTGGCCATGGACCCTGTGATGTCTCACAGGAAGCCTCATGTCTGTGTATTCCTACCTGAAATTATTTAAAGCAGATCTTCAACCTCCAAAACACAATCCCTCCTCTCCACCCCTCCTCTGGTCCTCTGCAGGAATAGGGATGTTTTTCTTTTTCTTTATTTACCTTTTTTGTTTTTAATAAAATGTCCCCCCTGCCCCATAGTACATGTCATTTGCCTAGGCAAATGATGTGCACTCTCCTTGTGCCTCCTGGGATATGCATGTCATACAGTTGCAAGAAAAAGTATGTGAACCCCCTGGTATTACGTGGAGTTTTGCATGAATTGGGCATAAAATGTGCTCTGAACGTCATCTAAGTCACAACAATAGAAGAACACAGTCTGCTGAACATAATACAACACAAACATTAGATGTTGCCATGGTTTAATTGCACATAACATGTAAACATTCACAGTGCAGGGAGGAAAAAGTATGTGAGGCCCTAGCTTAATGACTTCTCCCAGAGCTAATTGGAGCCAGGAGTGAGCCAACCTTGACTCCAATCAGTTTGATGATATTGGATGTGTTGCTGACAGCTGTCCTGCCCTTAAAATACACACACCTGTTTTGGGTTTACTGGTTTTGAAGAAGCACTGTCTGATGTGAACCATGCCTCGTAGAAAAGAGCTCTCAGAAGACCTACGATCAAGAATTCTTGACTTGAATGAAGCTGGAAAGGGTTACAAAAGTATCTCCAAAAGCCTTGATGTTCATGTGTCCACGAAAAGACAGACTGTCTACAAATGGAGAAAGTTTAGCACTGTTGCTACTCTCCCTAGGCGTGGTCGTCCTGTAAAAATGACTGCAAGAGCACAGCGCAGAATGCTGCATGAGGTAAAGAAGAATCCCAGAGTGTCAGCTAAAGACCTACAGAAATCTCTGGCACATGCTAACATTTTTGTTGACACATCTACAATAAGGAAAACATTAAACAAGAATGGAGTACATGGGAGGACACCACGGAGGAAGCCATTGCTGTCCAAAAAGAATATTGCAGCACGTTTGAAGTTTGCAAAAGAGAACCTGGATGTTCCACAGCACTACTGGCAAAATATTACTGTGGACAGATGAAACCAAGATTGAGTTGTTTGGGAAGAACACACAACACTATGTGTGGAGAAAAAAAGGCACAGCACACCAACATCAAAACCTCATCCCCACTGTAAAACAAGGCGGAGGGAGCATCATGGTTTGGGGCTGCTTTGCTGCCTCAGGGCCTGAACGGATTGTTGTCATTGATGGGAAAATGAATTCCAGAGTTTATCAAGACATTTTGCAGGAAAAAACGTACGACCATCTGTCCACCAACTGAAGCTCCGCAGAGGATGGGTGATGCAACAGGACAATGACCCAAAGCATACAAGTAATTCAACAAAACAATGGCTGCAACAGCACAGAATACGCCTTCTGGAGTGGCCCAGTCAGAGTCCTGACCTCAACCCGATTGAAATGCTGTGGCAGGACCTTAAGAGAGCGATTCACACCAAACATCCCAAGAATATTGCTACACTGAAACAGTTTTGTGAAGAGGAGTGGTCCAAAAATTACTCCAGATCGTTGTGCAGGTCTGATCTGCAACTACAGGAAACGTTTGGTTGAGGATATTGCTGCCAGAGGAGGGTCAACCAGTTATTAAGTCCAAAGGTTCACATACTTTTTCCTCCCTGCACTGTGAATGTTTACATGTTATGTGCAATTAAACCAAGGCAACATCTAATGTTTGTGTAGTATTATGTTCAGCAGACTGTGTTCTTCTATTGTTGTGACTTAGATGACGTTCAGAGCACATTTTATGCCCAATTCATGCAAAACTCCACGTAATCCCAAGGGGTTCACATACTTTTTCTTGCAACTGTATATCCCAGGAGGCATAGCCATTTACTGAGGAAAGGAAGAGGAGGCAGGCCTTTCAACATCATTTGCAGGTGTGCCAGCTGAACCCGGAGCAGTTTATTGATGATGTCATAGGAAAACATGGCAGAAAGCGACTGAGTGCTGCCAGAAGGTTAGAGGCTTCCAGCTGGACGGTGCTGGATCCGCTGGGTGGGATTCTAAATTTAGCAGAACTCACCACCAAGTAAGTAGGGGGTTAAAAAATATGGGGGGGGGGGGCGTGAAAATCCTTTTTAAGAAACATGTCTTTGATGACCAGATAATCGTTTGGTGAATCCAGCATAGCGACATTCAAAAATTACACCTTTTACTCACCAGTTCATCAGTCGTACTCTAGCATTGTCTACTTTTTCATTCCTTAACACTCTGTCAGTGACATCCTCTACCATAGAACCCATGTTTATATCTGATTCTGTCCTGATAACTGTCACCATCACTAAAAATCAGACCCACAGGAAACTTAACACGCGGGCCTCCTACAAGACAAAATGTTCAAGGCTGAACTGACAAAGGAATTATCTCCCTTCTTCAAACTTAATAATACCACTGATGGTCAACCATATTTAGAAGGCACACAAATGTCCTGTTGGAGGCATGCTAATAAACAGTGGCACCACACAAAAAATCTCTGGCAACAGCACAAGCAGTTGAGCTACTCTGAGCCCAGGCCAAGACCTTGCTCTTGGCTAAACTGAAAATGATGTACAGCTGATGCATGTTTTATTAAACAACACATCAAGCAGGTTGTTAGCACGATCAAGGTCTTAAATTCACAATATTGACCAACATGGCTGACTGTTTCTGAGAATTCTATACCTCCCTATACAACCCCTGACCCTCAGCATAACCACTATATTGACCACAAGGATACCCTTACATATCAATACCTTGCAGAATTGTCACCCCAATTGCAAGACTTAATAAAAAGGCTGATAACTGAAGAGAAGTTCCTTGTGGTCTTCAGAGCCATGTCTTTGAGACAAGCTCTGGGTCCCAAAAGGATCACTCATTTGTACTAAAAAAAAAAGCTTTCAAATAATCCATCATTTTCACCAAGGCATTAATTTCCATTGTGCAGGGACACCCCATTCCTAGGGATACCCTCCATGCTAATATAACAGTAGTGCCCAAGGATGATAAATAGCTTTCACACCAATTTCACTCTTGAGCACAGACTTAAAGCTTTTTTACAAAAATCTTAGCCACTTGCCTCAGCCCACATTTATCTTCGATAATTCAACATGCCCAGGTGGAGTTCATTTTCTGTAGAGGTGTTTAACAGGGTAAATAGGAGATTTCTGAAATGAACATTCAATCACATCAGCCTATGTTAAAATATTCTCACAATACACTCACTGTGTATTGGCACCCCAAACATATATCATCAACCAGACCATACCTCTGAAAAAAAAAAACTACAGGGAGTGGATGGATTAGATACAGTTATTCATAACTCAGTGATTTTGCTTTCCACTCTGATTACTGGAACTTCCGTCACAGTAGCAGGTTGAAGCAATCAACCCCTGAACTTAAGGTATGACCTACAGAGCCTAGAAAAAAGGTAAACAAATGATCAGGCTGGTAACAAAACACACTTAATTTAGTTAGGAACACAATAGCATATGGCAGGATGCCTATCGTTGCAATAAAGTACTAAACACTGAGTATTGCAGATGACCTACTGTATGTGTTTATTTACAATTCAATGGCAAACCAACTTAATGTCTATTGCCTTCTGGACTATGAATGAAGCCCTCCTTGTGAATCCAGCCTAATGTCAAGATATTCAGAAAGCATTGAGAGTGTAGCTCTCCTTTAATGCCACTCCTGAAAACTCCCTTTTGTGGGAAGCCCACAAGCCTACAATTAGAGGCACATGTATGCAAAAGGCCTCTCAATTTAAAAGAGATACACGCTTTCTGCTGCAAGGTGTAGAACAAGAGTACCAAACCCTCCATGACTGTTTTCAGGCTTACCCCATCCCTATCAATAGGTGCCTTTTAGACAAAACTCGCACTGAATTAGATTTACTTTTAGGCTAAGGCGGCTGAAAAGGTGATCCGCAGATCCTATCATATGGAGTAAGGTAAAGCCAATAAGCAGGACACCCTTTTAACATATCAGCTTTACAACTTTGATGAAAGCCATAAACTAATCTGTCTAAAACTCTCTAGAGAATCCCACATTGGTAATCCAGTAAAAAAATAAAAAAACCCTCTCCAAATTATGTACGTTTGACGGCTCTTTTTCCCAGACATAAGATGATCTTTTTTTCTCAGGACTGGCTCTACCTATGTTTTCAAGCATGCAGAGGGTCCTCTTGGATCAGCCCATATTGGAAGAGGAAGTCTAACAGGCCATCAAAACGTTAAAATCCAACAAATGTCCTGACACAGATGGACTACTCACCAGGGGCGGACTGACAACTCATGGGGCCCCTGTGTCATTGCCCAAACTCAAAAAGCCTATGAAAGAGGTACCAGGGGCATCTCATGGGGCCCCCTACTGACCCCGGGCCCTTGGGCAGTACCCAAGTTTCCAAATGGTCAGTCCGCCCCTGCTACTCACTGCCTACTATAAGAAATTTGCTGATACGTTAACCCTACTTGCAAAAGCATACAGTAGCTTGATTCGACAGGGGCAATTTGGAAGGAAACCCTAATGGCTTTTATAACTATGATACTGAATCCTATCACTGACTCAACATTGTGGTCAAACTATAGACCAATTTAACCTCTAAATGTTGATGTTAAATTGTTGGCTAAAGTTCTGACTATACAACCTTATCCTATAATTGAATCAAAAATAAGAAAAGACTGTGCTTAGTGCAATACACAATAAATAAATTCAGTGCTAAAATTAAGAACAGCAGCACTCACAGATATCAGAATACTGAGATACACCAAATTACTCCATACAAAAAAATATGTTGGGCAGTTGTATTTATAAATAAATCAAAATCAACAACAAATATCAAATAATGAGTCCATATAAAATTCCCGAAGTAATACAGTACTTCTAATTGTGAAGCACAAAATATGAGAACACCTCCACCAGCCTCAGTGCTCCAACCACCACCACCATGGACATCATCACCAGACTAGAGTGATGCAAGCGAGACACTCACATCAAAAAGAGGTTCCAGATAAGGATGAACCGCGGCATTAAAATAACAAATTTTATTAGTTAGGAAAAATTAAAAACAGTACAAACTTTTGTCAATACCTTTACCATGCACCAGTAAACAAGTGACAAGTTGTCAACTGTTAAGATAACATAGCCCAGGCTCACAATACCATACACACTGTTGCTAGCGGCAATGCAAGTATAGCAGAAATGTAAGACAAATGGGAACCAGCAGTAGCTAATTAAACAAACTTTTATTTAGCTACTGCTAAATAAAGAAGAAGATGGCCTGAAATCCTTCCTGGTAAAATGGATGACAGGCTCATAGCCAAACACTGCATCTACTACAGGCAAGGTTTTACACATGTAAAGGAAGGGGGAGGGAACTTCATGGGTGTAGTAATTTCAAAGATCGCTTTATTAAAAGCCACCCTTATACTCACAGAAATGGTGAACAGCCAGATATTATCAGAAAGAAAAATGCCACCCCATTCAGGTCGGCATGGTGAGATCACCCCTTGGCTCCATCTTTACATGTTTCATTCCAGAGAACATTGTTGGAGGGTTGCCAGATCACTGATCCATGGTTTATCTCTTATCACCAGGCCAGTGTCAGTGTCTACAGAGCGTGGGAAAGCATTCAATAGGGTTTCTTGGCCTTACCTGATGTATGTCTTTTTTGGGGTTTGAGCCGGGTTTCCTCCTTATATTTCAGTCCTCAAGCATACCTGAAAAATGTAGGGTTTAGGTCTGATTATTTCCTAATTGTTAGGAGCACAAGGAGACAGGGTTGTCCCTTTTTACCCCTGCTCTTTGCCCTGACTATTGAGCCTTCAGCTCAGAAAACGTTTGCACTTGTGTATCAAAGTCGTGGAGCTAGCAAATATTAGTCATAAACTGTCATTGTTTGCAGATGACATACTTTTTATCACTTCCCCCTCATGTTTACCCCTAATCTGTTTAAAGTTTTGCACCATTTCCTTTTTGGGGCCTTGAAGTTAATCAAGATAAGTTGCAAACGCTTAATCTCTCTCTCTCTCGCCCCAGGACCTTCACTGTGTAGTTTGCATGGGTTTAGGGTGTAGCAAGATGGCGTCCACGCCGGAAATGCGGAAATGCGTGGCTTCCTCAGGGTTCACCCTAAACCCATGCAAACTACACCCATAGCATGTGGTTTGAATGCTTGTTTTCTCTGATACCAAGTGAGTGGGCAATTGGCTGTGCTATGTCTTTCTTTATGCAATAAATGGTAATACACTATGGAGGATCTCTCTTTTAGGTCATTAATATCATCCATATGTGAGTTGGCTGTATTACGGTTACGCATATCTGAAGGGGACCTGAGATGTTAAACGCATATTACTGAAGGGGCCTTTACTATTTGAAAGATACCACAGAGGGTAATCTGACCATGGGGGATCCATTTGTGATCCCACAAGTGTTTTGGCCCATTGAGTCACGGTAAGGGAGTGAGGAGGCAATTCAGCTATTTTGGATTTTATTACCAGCGGCTGTAACGCACATCCACTGTATCACCTGCATGTTTTTGAAGAAATAGTGGATCACCTGGCATATGTGCACTTTTTGGACTTTTAAATTATTTATTATTTTTTATTGATTTTTTTTTTCTTATATATATGTATGTTTCACTATAAAATTATTTTTAGTCATTTTGGATTATCTTTATGTTATAAATTGGGGTGATTGTTGTTTGTTTTTTCTTATATTTGTTTTATATATTTGGAGTTCTTTGTGAAGTTCCCACTGAGCATGAGTCACTTTATATAGGAGTTATATCCCTTTTTTTAGGGATTCACTTTTCATGTGTTCCTTGGTTTGTTTTGGTTTTCAGTTAGGCTGATTTTTAGCCACTGATCCCAATTAGGGATTTGGGTTGTTTGTTTGTTCATTTTTATTTTGTGTGTTCACCAAATTGGGTCCAACTAAGACCATGTGATTGTCACGTTTTCTTGTCACTTGTAAGATCCCAGAGAGGATCCGATCACTTTATATGTGTCACAGTTTATGATTTTTTTTTTTTTCACATTTTTTTTATTATTGTAATATTATATGTGGTTAAATGAATAATTATGTAGTAGCGCTACACCAATAGATGTGTATATATATATATTTAGCACCATTTTCACCTATAGGTATAGGGTTGGGTGTTAGCAGCTTTGTAGTTATTATTTATATATTTTTTCACTTTAAAGCGCAGGAGGATAAAATCATCATTATTGTTTACATCACTTACCAAAACGTATAAACCTCTTTACCAGGCTAACTACCAGCTCATGCTTCAGAAGTTACATTCTCTCCTGACTCAGTGGTCCTGTCAGGGCAGGAGCTGTGGAATGGACAGGCAGACCTAATGGCAGGGTCACGCACCGACTGACGACAACCACCACCCACAGACCGAAGTCCCTCAGGGCACAGAGTCTAAGCCCCAGGCTGCCCTTCACCAGGGCCCCTGATGGTGGGGATGGACTTGACGCAGCCAGGGACCAGGTCGCGGCCCCCGAGTAACCCCATCTGCGGTAATGGCCGCCGCCAATGGCATATAGCTGGTAGGAACCAGATAAGAACGATAGCGTAGTTGGACAGGCCGGGTCGATAACAGCGGGACAGACAGTACAGAATGGTTGACAAGAATACACAGGTCACAAGCCGGGTTCAGCAACGGGAGGTCAGATAAAGGGATAAGGCTGAGAATAGTCTTAGACAAAGCCGAGTCAGTTTCCAGGAGAGCCACGAGAGTAGAAACAGAGCTTGCTGCAACACGAACATACAAGACACAAATGCAAACAGCAAGTGCAGACAACAGGCTTAAATGTGATCAACCACACCCCTCTGGGGGATGGACCGCAGAGGCCTGAAAGCATAAAAGGCTCCCACCATGCTCTGCAGAAACCCAAGATGGATGCCAGCACATGGAGCAGCACAACCTCTGGGAAAAGGTAGGACCTTGACAGGTCCCCCTGCTTACCTCTTGGTTCGAGAGAGTTGCCACAGACAAGATGAATCTGTTACCAAATATCTGATACCTCTCCCCTGCTCTCCTGGTCACTGTTACAGCACATTTTTTTTTATTCTTCAGAGACACGTATCGCATTAAATTTGGGGAGCCTTCATACCCAGGTTGCCAAAGAGCACTTTGTTTTCACCTAGATTGAATGGGGGACTAGATCTTCCACATTTTCCCTGTTATTATTATGCCTCGCAGTTAGCCCAACTACCCAAATATCTCGCCACTTGGGAAATTCCATTTTGGGTGAGCCTGGAAGCAACAGATTGCAACCCACTTCTAATTGACAATGTCTTATGGCTTGACCCCTCCGAGCATCTCTGGCTTACGAATCCGATCACTCTACATACGCTACATCTATGGGACCATCTGAAAACTAAGTTTTCTCTTATGCTTCCTCACTACTCTTTGCTATCTTTCATACATCACCGTTGTTTTATCCAGAGGCTGAGTCACCACAATTGTTCACTTCCTGGTCTGCATTGAATCTTACTCGCTTATACTGTATTGGCTCACTGGCCCTACTGGGATTTTATCCTTCACTACCCTACAGCAGGACAGAGGTGTTTAGGTACCTTCAAGTCAACCTTTTTTATTTATCCATGGTCCAATTGTGAATGTCCCTAGATCAACTTTCATCCTTTGAGGATTTGATGTCTAAAGATTTCCATTCCCCAGGCCTCTATCTAGATTGCACTCTCACTTGGTTAATAAGACATATCCAACTTCCCGCTTGTATGTATAAGTGGGCCAGCTGACCTCAGTGTCACTCTAGAACCATAGGAATGGACAGCTATTTGAGAGGTCACCAGATTCTTCTCCAAAACCATGGCTGCTACTGAACGTTCCTATAAAGTACTCTCTCAGTAGTACTTGGTCCCTGCACAGATTGCTAAGTTTGCTCTTACTTATCCATCCTCCTGTTTTAGGGGTTGTGGGGAAATGGAAACCATTCACAATCAATGTATTTTTTTTTTTGTTCACCAGTTTCAGGAAAGTGCAGCACAAAACTCCAGTAACTGAGAGCCTAGCTACGTAATCAACATGTGACATTCCCACACTCTCTGACGTTACATTAGACCAAGGTTCTTCTACTATTCAGGATGAGGTTACAACTCATAGCTGATGACTACATC